GAGAGAGAGAGAGAGAGAGAGAGAGAGAGAGAGAGATTGAGGAAGGGAGCGAAAGACATGTCAACATCCCCTAGGCTATGCACTTTAAAGCGTGAAAGGTGAGGGACGTAATTCAAATTATGTCAATGGCAAAATTAAGTAGCGAGAATCTATCTGCTAGAATGTTTCTATTTTCTATGGCAAGCGATATGCGACGAGGGGTTCTGTTCTTCGCTCAGTTTTTGTTCCAACAGCAGGCGTGGAAGTTAGGCCGAGGCCCAGTCGTCTTTGGCTGGCTGGTTTGACAACAGCGAGAGATCGCCCGCCACTTCTTGCCGACTCGATACTGCAAAAGATCGTTTCGGCTACCATCCACGATTTTGGGGTATCGAGTTTGGTAATGAGACACCTCCATCATCATCATCATCATCATCATCATCATCATCATCATCATCATCATCATCATCACCACCACCATTGAGCAGAGTAGGTACGGAGAGTGTTGATAGATTTGCTGATAGACAAAAATATTAAATGAAATGTTTAAAATTTGGTTTATTAAATCGGCTCGACCTTTCACCGCACAGGCTTCTTCAGGATCATCATCATCCTCATTATCATCTTCATGCATGTATACATATGTGAGGCAGCGTGGTGGAATCAGGCTCTCGTCAATTTTTGGGCACATAGAGTTATTGGTATCATCTTAAAGCTTGTTCACTTGTTTTTATTTGGATGAAAAAAATATCCGTTATCTTTAATACAAATCGAGATATTTGAGAATGAAAGAGGTGGGGATCACCTGTTTTCAGAGGTGAAATGAGTGAGAAAATAGCGCCAAAAATTACTTATTTCCTTAGCTTAAGAGTCCGTGGTAAATGAAAGTGTACATCTTTTGTGCCTTTAATCACCGTTTTTCAGAAAAATCCACACAGAAATGAATTCTTTAATGGGCATGAAAGGTGTTAAGCCCCAAAACAAAAATTTGATAAAAATTCACAAACTTGTGGAAAAAATGCAAGTTTCTTCACTTTGATTTTTTTTTTTACGAGAGCCTGATTCCACCACGCTGCCTCACATACGTACATGAATAAACACAAACACAACTTTTCGAATCTGAAAAAAAGGTGATTCAGAATCATTTAAATAAGTGTACAGTTTTATTAAGGAGTCTGAAGTCACTGTAGTTCAATTTTCAGTTTTTCATTAATTTTGTTTAGATATAATCTTGGGAAAGTCCGTCTTCTAAGACACCATGTTTTTCATCTATTTATGTATGTGTTGTTAATAGGTTTACAATTTACAGATCATTTATATATTATAATTGGTCGCTTTTAAGCACAATGGGGCTATCCCGAAAAGCGCTGTTTGAATCGAAGGTAAAGTTTTTGCCCCTTGTTCAGTTTCTTTAGAAGAGAAGGACAGTTTTCTTTATTATCAAACAAATATGCACACCGATCAGGGGCGGCTCGTGGAGCTAAAAAGTGGGCGTGCACAATTAAGCAACAGCAGGTTGAAGATAGTCAAGATCGTAAATGGGATGGTAGTTTCTCTGGGCTGGTGAAGGAGGACCTTATGCTTTTATTTTCATTCTTTTCACTGGTCGCTTTGATTTATTTCTAGAACTAAATCTTTTAGTTAGCTAAGAATCAAGTTCTTTATCCTGCATTGGAACTGAGCTCTCGAGTAATAACTTTCACCACTCCACTACAAAACCATTCAAAGGCACAACTCATAGGACGGTGACTTAAGTATGTCACGTTCACCTCCCTCAGGTTCATGGTCACAGAGTCGCTTAAAATAGCGGAAAGACAATGAACCAATCTGGTCTTATAGATGTAACTCAATAGAATGACCAAACACAAAATGAGAATAGACATCTGCTTTCCTCTTGAAAAAAAAAAAGGATGGTGATCCGAAGATATAACCTCAAATTGTAAGGATTGAATTATCTAATTTAACGTATTCATACAAGGTATCTGATCCCATACAATCGGCGGATTCCAAGTAGTGTCCTTTTAGAAATTTTGATTTATAATAATATTACTGCTTTTATTATTTTAATATTATTTCATTATTTTACTCAAATCAATTCTATTGTTAGTATTATTGTTTTTGATATTGATGTTATGACTGTGTTTCTTCTTCTTCTTCTTCTTCTTCTTCTTCTTCTTCTTCTTCTTCTTCTTCTTGCTGCTGCTGTTGCTACCGTTGGTGTTGTGTTGTTGTTGTTGTTCTTGTTGTTGTTGTTGTTCTTGTTGATGATGTTATTGTTGTTGTTGTTATTGTTGTTGTCGTTATTGATGATGATGTTGATGTTGCTGTAAAACACTAATATAAGGTCGTCAGAACACACCATTCCTTTGATGGAGCCTTGGGTCCGTCTGTACAAAACATCACATCAGGTTCCCTAAGGACGAGGGAACAAAGTGAGAGGAAATGGGATTCTGACCGGGCTCTGTCGTGTTTTACTATCGTATCCATACGACGTGGGGAACTCTGTACTACCACTTAACCCTATCCGTACGTCGTGTTTTACTATCGTATCCATACGACGTGGGGAAGTCTGTGCCACCACTAGACCCTATCCGTACGTCGTGTTTTATTATCGTATCCATACGACGTGGGGAACTCTGTGCCACCACT